ATATATATATATATATATATATCATATACTTATCACAAGTTAATATGTTAAATGTATTCTGTGCAGATTAAACTGTTTTATCATAGTCAGAATGACCCAACCATCCCACAGATTAAATGTGGATGAGTGAATAAGATCTTGGATTGCTGTATGATAGCTTTTCTTCCATATAATAGGAGAAAGACACTGAACTTGCAGATACCTTATCAGTTTTATCCTTCTGTTTGTCATTTATTTTGGTGTTAAAAATCACATTGAGTAGTACTTGAATCTAATATGTGGCAGTGGCTTGCTCAGTAAGAGATGGATTCTCTTCTTTACACTGACCTAAACAAGTTAAAAGGGCCATAATATAATACAATTTAATATAATATAATAAAATATATGATATGATATGATATGATCATTTATTTAAATGTATAATTTAGCATATTATTACAATTTAAAATGTTCTAATGTGTTTCCAAATGTACTGTATTTGGTAACGCTTTAGTTCAGGGACAAGTTCTCACTATTAACTATTTGCCTATTAGCATGCATATTACTAGGATATTGGCTGTTTATTAGTATGTACAAAACAACTTAACCACTGATTTCTAGTCGTGTCCATTTTTGGAAGGCCAAACAAAGTAGTTTCGCTTTCACAACGAAAAACACAGCGGCCTAGCGTGAGGGGAAGCCCCGGCTTAGCGTGCGCTGAGGCCGGCATAGAGTGAGCTGAGGCCGGGCTAGCGTGAGCAGAAGCCCAGGCTTAGCGTGAGCTGAGGCCGGGCTAGAGTGAGCTGAGGCGGCGGAGTCGAGAACGGCGCGCCTGGCGGATCCAATGAATGAGCGGCAACCACATGTGATGACCCCGGGCTGAACTTCACTTCGTCCACGGTGAAAGTTGATGTATTCCCTCAGCGACCCGCGCAGATGAGCTCTAGGCATGACGAAGCGGATATCTTCCTCTTTTGGCAGCCCAAACAAAGTAGTTTCGCTTTCACAACGAAGCACACAGCGTCTTCACGACATGGCTGCAGCATCAACAATACTACAGCGAGAATAAAAGTTACGCCTTCTTTCTTTGCATGAACATTTGGGCGGCGTTATGCAAATCTTCCCACATAGTGAGGTAGATATGTGGGGGCGTGTTAGAACAAGCCGTTTTAGGTAGGTGTGGCTGACTCTGAACTTTTATAAAGAATATCTCTTTGGATTTGAGACTTTAGTCTTTGCAACTTTACAGATCTTCTTTATGCACCAAGAGCTTGTAACACTCCAAAGAGAAAGGAAAAATTGAAATCGCATCATATGACCCCTTTAACCCTACCCCATATCTAAATGTAACCATTACCTTACTAACTAATAAGCAGCAAATTAGGAGTTTATTGAGGTAATAGTTGTAGTTAATAGTTAATTACTTAGTTCGGAATTGGTCCCCAAAATGTGTCCATTTATTCCTGTAATGGTAGCCAAATTTTCAGCATCATTATTCTAGTGTTCAGTCACATGATTCTTCAGAAATCACTCTAATAGGCTGATATCTCATCTTTTCCTTTCGTCTTTTGTAACATTATAAATACCTTTGATGCATCCTTGCTGAATAAGAGTAATAATTTCTTAACGAACACCAATTTTTTGAGCGGTATTGTATATTATATTATTTATTCATTACTCTTAAGCGGCTTGTTAATTGAGTGTTGCATTTTTAAGATGGTATGTCAAGTTAAAAACATTGAAAACATTGCCAAATTGAAAATGTGCTTTCCAGTTTTTTGTACAATATGCATCAGATGGTCAGTGAACAGATTGTGGGCAGTCTGAGGATGTGGCTGAGAGTATGTCTATCTGATTTTTAATCATGTTTGAACGGCTTTTAACATAATGCTGTTTGTGTTTTGTTTTTTTTCCCTTCTGGTATGAATTGTTCTTTTCTTTATGGAGCAATGTAGTATCAGTTTCTGTATTGAGAGCTGAACTGTTCCAAATGTGAAGGAAAAAAATCTGGCTGAGGAACACAGAGCAAGCAAAACACACCACAGTGCACTGTAACTTTGTACGTGCTACAGGATCCAATTAGTTTTTATTGTTGGCAGACAGGAAAGGCATCACTGATACAAGGTTCAATTATTTCTAGCATTCAGAAAACAAAAGATTTGAAGAGGGTCAAAAAGCAGAAGCCTTAGAGAGACATGTTTTTTTTCACATCTTTTGCTAATATTCTAATCAGCTAAAAGTCTGACTTTGAAACATTTAATGAGTTCTGTGACTTCAGTCCCCAAGGGACACATAAATGACTTACAAGAAAAGGTTGATACTGCGCTGCAAAGAATTCTGGATAACAACAGACTACGAGATGGATCTGCTATGATAAAAAGCTCCTTACGGTGAAGTTTTTAAATGTCCTTTATGTTTTATGTTTGCTTCTCAGGAGCAATTAAGCACTTGGGGACCACTGGCTGTGTGTGAACTCTTTCCTTGTTAGATTCCTAATTAAATTATGTGTTTGCAGTATCAGCCACTATAGGTATCTGATGTTGTTAGAGCTTGAACACTCAGTCTAGCACACTTTGCATTCACTGGTAGACTTTTTGTAGCTTTTTGTAGCTTGGTCATCTACCGTAATAATTAATTTGCATACACAAAGGAAAAAAAAGGAACCTTTTTGGAGCAGAGCTACTGTAACTGAAACACTTCAAAGGAGGATGGTGTCATTTGATAAATGCATGTATGCATGTCACTAATGAGGTCTTGCTTTAATTGGCAACATGTCTTTTTTTTACAGGAACAGCCACAGTAATGTGTACTTTTAAGGGAATAGGAGGCAGTGTTTCATTATTTACTTAACCCCATGTTGTTTTGAACCTATATAGCATACACAATGTTTCTTTGGTCAATTCTAGCTGTTGATGTATGGAAATGATGAGAAGAATGACATGAAGATGAGTAAATAAGGATAGAAGTTTCATTTTTGCTTGACCTCAATATGTTTTTAATAAAAAAAAAATGCACTTTCTTTCCTGATCACTTGCAGGATGCTCTTCTTCACTGACTATGGGAATCAAGCCAAACTGGAGCGCTGCAACATGGATGGCACCAACAGAACTCGACTTGTGGATTATAAGGTTGAGTGGCCGACTGCATTGGCATTGGATTTGGTAAAAAAACTGGTGTACTGGGCAGACGCATATCTGGATTACATTGAAATGGTGGATTACAATGGCAAAAACAGATACACTATCATCCAGGGATATCAAGTGAGTTATTTTTTATTTATTTATTCCTTTTTTTTTTTTACAGCCTAATACACTACCGTTAAAAAAAAGGGGTCAAATAAATTTTTTTAATGTTTTTAAAAGAAGTCTCTTATGCTCACCAAGGCTGCATTTATTGTATCAATAGTATAATAAAAACAGCCATTACTCCAGTCTTCAGTGTCACATGATCCTTCAGAAATCATTCTAATATAAGCATATTAAAATGATTTATGAATGATCATGTAAAGCAGGATTGTAACAATGTTCGTAGTTCGGGAAGAAGGAGGTGGGAACCAGCGAACATTTAAAGAAAACTTTAATTAAATAAACAAACACAAAATTAAAGTAAAGCAGCAGCCCCTCGCGGATGACTGCTGCACACAAAACACAAAATAAAATCCAGGCCTGGTCCTCTCTCATCTTTCACTGTCGTAACTCCTCCTTTTATCCTTCCGGAGCTCCTCCGTGGGACTCGAGACCGGTGAGTGGTGCAGGTGTCACTCATTATCAATTACTCCACTGGCCTCGCTCCGTTCCCACGGCTCTCGGCCCCGCCCCCACTCGTCACAATGATTATTCAATGAATGAAAGAAGAAGGAGGTGGGAACCAGCGAACATTTAAAGAAAACTTTAATTAAATAAACAAACACAAAATTAAAGTAAAGCAGCAGCCCCTCGCGGATGACTGCTGCACACAAAATACAAAATAAAATCCAGGCCTGGTCCTCTCTCATCTTTCACTGTCGTAACTCCTCCTTTTATCCTTCCGGAGCTCCTCCGTGGGACTCGAGACCGGTGAGTGGTGCAGGTGTCACTCATTATCAATTACTCCACTGGCCTCGCTCCGTTCCCACGGCTCTTGGCCCCGCCCCCACTCGTCACAATGATTATTCAATGAATGAATCGTTCAAAAGAAAAAGCATGTATTTGAAATAGAAATATTTTGTAACATGCAAACATTTGACCAATTTAATGCTTTTTTGCTTTAAAAAAAGTATTAAGTTCTTAAAATAATAATAATAATGATAATAATGACCCCTAAACTTGAATGGTAGAGTATGTGGGTGGAATAAAAAAATATTCTAGCTAAGCAGCAGATTAGCATGAAAGACAGATATTTTATCCTAGTCTAAAGGTGCAGTCACATTTACTGTTGCTTGGCAAAATTTTGTGCAGGAAAACCCAGTCATTTCAATTTGAATCCGTGTGACTGTGAGGTTTGCATGAGGTTGAAAAAGTTTCTCAGGTTTCCCAGTTCCCTGCTTGGTTTGGAAGTGACCTGTGTGTGAACTGCATCACTACGCTATTTACAATGAACTATGGACCTTTTTTGTCTGTGAAATCTCGAAATTTTGCTAATTTGACAACACTTTAATAATCTAAAAATATATGTTGTTTAATTAGCTGAGCTGAATAGTAAAATTAGACACAGACAGTTAACATATTCAACAATGGTGATGTGAAGGGAAGAAGGGGTTGTTTGTCTGTCTGATGCAAGACTCTAATCATCCCTGATGAGGGAAGATAGAAACCAACACAGTTGTACACAGATTGATTTCAAGTATTAATTGGTTATGGCATTTATACCCAACAGCAACTGTAGCAAGTGTGTGGCTTCATCTGCGTTTTAATTTCTCAAGCTAGTTCTTGCATTAATTATTCTAAATGAACACACGGGAAACAGAAACAGATTCACCATTTGAATATTTTACCTGAAGTGCACTTAAGAGGACAGTAATTATGGATCATTATTATTCAAAAGTAGACCTCAGCTAAGCAACCCAAAGATCTTCTTGTTGTTGAAAAGTGTAGAAGGTCAGAGCAACGGATGACTGTATGCAGGCATGTGTGGGTGTGCATGGTTTAATGGCGCTCTAGAATGCGAGCCGCACCGTATTGGTGAGAGGTTGCTAACACATTTAATTTCCATCGCAAATTAAGGTGAGGTTCTGCCAGGCCTGAAAACTGTATCTTCCCTTTTTTGACTTCAATGTTTCAAACGGGTTCCTTATTGTGTGATGACACCTTCTCTAATCAGGCACCCTTCCAAGTGAACTTTTGTTTTTAATTTAAAGCATGGTTTGCTCTTAAATCACTTACTGCACTCAACTGAATTCTGTAATATACTGTACATTCCACTGTAAACTATTATATTAGCTATACAGTGGGCCCCAGAGTGTTAGGACACTTAAGCTGCTCTTAAAAATTCATGAATGTCATTCCATTAGATAACACAGTATCAAACCAAGCACTATTTATTTTAGCTCTAGCAAACTTTCAAGCAAAACGTTGCAGGAAAAAAAAGTATTTTAACATATTCCTCCTCTGAGTTAAAAAAAAAATCAGTGTAACTCTTTCCTGATTGAGATTTTATTTTTAATGGCACTTTTATATCTCACAACTGTGACTATTATACACACAAAACCATTCACAAGTTTGGAGTCTGTAAAATTGATTGATTTTGAAAGAATTTAATAGTTTTATTTGGCAAGGACTCGTCCAATTGATATTTATTTTTAATAAACACAACCTTTACATCATGGTTTCCATACAAAAATTAAACAACAGAATTTTTTTCAACATTGATAATAATAAGAATTGTTTCTTGAGCACCAATCATCATTTCAGAATGATTTCTGAAGGATCATGTACGACTGAAGACTGGGGTAATGGCTGCTGAAAATTCAGCCTTGCTATCACAAGAAAAAAGTATATCTTAAAAGTATATTCTAATAGAAAAAGGTTTGTTTAAATTGTAATAATATATTATAATATTTCTGTTTTTACTGTGTTTGTGATCAAATCAGCCTTGGTAAGCTTAAGATACTTCTTTTCAAAAACTGCACTGACCTCAAAGAGGTTCAGAGGTGGAAACTGGCTTTCATATAGTATCATTATGAAATGTTCAGGAAATGTTCATTATTAATATGATGGACCCCTGTGTGAACTCACTTTATACATCCTCTAAAACTGATCTAAAGACCAGTTGATTAAAAGTAATTGCTAGAATGCCAAAATTGTAATTTAAATTGTTCATTAAGTGTCCAAATATTTTGGGGGACACTGGAATATCCACTCTTGCCCTGGAGAAATGGCTGAGTATCTGATTACATATTTAAACGAGAATATGAGCCACACTATTTTACCACTATTTCTTACCTCTTGCAGTAAGGGGAAAAGAGGGTTATCTCCCTGTGGGTTTAGGTGAAGCAGAATGCACATTTTAACTTGTGTGTATTTGTGGGCGGGGTTCAGCGCTCCCAGTCTGCTCCTGTCACATGTTGCTTGCAGAGATAACATGTAGGCTAGAATCACTGCACAGAACCAAGGTGTCCCCAGAGAAATGCATGCACTCTGGCTGACCCTGCCGAACTTCCTGAACTGCCTGAATGCATATCAACACAATTCACTTACCTTCAGCCTGTCTGCAAATCTGCACCTCTTATTCAGATTGTGGGCTGTTGTCAGGTCAAATTAAGCCTAATAACAGCTTTAGCTAATGGCTAATTTGATGTTGAATCAAAGGGAAATACCAAGTACGGTATCTGTGCTGTTCTGCTTACTGTTGAGCTTACAAGGTGATATTCACCTAGCTAAGTAGCTTCTGAGCGTTCTAATCAACCTGAAGTAGTCAATGCTCCTTTTTCTAGGTGGCCCACCTGCATGGATTAGCTGTCTTTGAGGACTACTTGTACGCAACTCGCTCTGAACCCTCCAGTGGAGCAGTGGTAGACATTTTACGGATAAATCGCTTTAATGTCACAGACCCGGAGACGCTAACCAGCATAGGAAATGCAAAAACAATAAGGGTTTACCACAAGCTCAGTCAACTAAAAGGTAAAGTATGTTTTAGGCTGGTTTGAATTGTTTGTTTAGACTGAACAACATGTCTAGGAATCTGGGGGTTTTGTTTCTTCATCATACACATCACTTTTTAGCTTTTGTTTCAGGTTTTGTATTATATATTTTAATGCAAAAATACATTCTTCAAGATTATATGTGTATACGGATATGCTAACTGCAAATGTGACACCAGTGTCCTCTCTTCAGTCAAGGGCCATGCGTGTGAAGTTGACCCTTATGGTAAACCAGGAGGATGCTCGCACATCTGCCTTCTCAGCGGGAGCTACAAATCCCGGAGCTGCCGCTGTCGTACCGGATTCAGCCTGGGAAGTGATGGGCTGTCCTGCAAAAGTCAGTCCACCATAGGTCACATTCTTTCTTTTGTGCACTATAGCTGTTCAAATGTGTTGTTGTGAAAATAATAATAATAATTAATAATTATTATAATAATAACTAAGGCTGTCAGTTTAACATTTAACCCTGTAAAGGCTGGATTATAAAATAATAGCCTGCAAAATCGATTGGTTTATTTAACCTTTATTGAAAGGCAAAACCTAAATAAGTGTTTATGATCATAGCGCTGTAGTTTTTATTGTAAGTGCTCATTTTGAAATCTTACTAACAATATAATATTTATTCTTATGTGAACTTCATAAAAATCAGTAAATATTTCACAGCAAAAAGACATGTTAACCACGACCTGAAGGTGAACATATTTAGAATGATACTAAAAGGCCTTTTACTTGCTAAAAAATATAAGCCATCAATCAGACGATAGAAGGCATGTAGTAGATTGTGTACAACAGGATTTTCAGCAACATTTTGATCATGCTGATAATTTAGAGGCCTTAGAAATTTGTAACAAATATGATACAGTTGTCTTTACAGGATTAATGCAATCAGTTATTTAAAAAAAAAAGTAACAGTAAAAATATGACGCAGTTGCATAAATTCTATAATTCCCTATTATGTAATTATTTTCTCTTTTTTTATCTATTGAGAGCCCTAATGAATATATATTTCTTGTCTGCCACCAGAGTGTAAAAAAAAATGCACCCAATGGTTTTATGACACTTAACGTCATGTCATCCCTGCCTAAATGGTGATGGAATATGTGTTTGTTTTATTAGATTCTCATCAGCTATCCAGAGCTGGAAATTTAAATGTGTGTGTCGTTACACTATTAAGCGGGAAGATTTAGCGGTTCAGCATTTGCACCAGTCTTGGCACTAACTCGGATTGACAGAGATGGAGATGAACTTTTAAGGAGATTGGCCCACGTGGTTGTGATGTTGTTTTATTGACTGCCTATAGAATGATTCATTACTGCCATTTCCACTCTGTTCCCTATACGCAGATTCTGCTGATCAATGGACGTTTTACTTAGTTGACAATGAAAGCTATGGGTCAATTAATGATGATCCTGAGTTAAGCATGAAGTGACTGCAATAATGAACCAAGCTCTGCATCTTGAGAAGTTTCTGATTTATACCGCCAGCCAGATGTTCCACTTCCTGTCTCTTTCCATCAGATGAGAAGCTATGTTAAATGACTGTGGCTGCCTTCATCCAATAGTCCCCGTGTTGTTTGATATATAGGTCTCAAACCGCTTAATTGTCTTCATGGTAGCAGAGCTCTTCCACTCAGAATGATAAATTGAAGTGATATTTGTGTGGTCTCACCCACACTGGTGTGGTCCCATGAGGAAGGGGGTGGATGTTGAGGTGAGGTCCCTCTCTTTACCCAGAATCCTCCTCCTTTGCCATTGGCCTGGCGCATAACAGACAGACCGGGTCGCCCTTTGTGTAATCCCCACTGTGACTAGAGGTTAATTTATTTGAGCTTGTTGCAAGCCCATGGGTAACCTCAGCTTTTGTTGTGTGTTAATCTGACAACAGGAGATTTACTGTTTATAAACAGAATCTCAATGAACAAAAATATCATTGCTGGTGCTCGTCAAATGAATCCTCTCAATCAAGATCATTTTTGCCTAGGGATGCTAAGTGGGGCTGATTGCACCATTCATTTCTGTAACTTAACACATCTGCCTCTGCCAGTTTGGGCTTTGTAGTTCTTCACATAACTGATTTGGGATCAAACAAAAAAATTATACACTACTGGTGTCACGATGTGGGTAGATGAGGCACAAAGCGAAGGGGTAATCCAAAAGGTGAGTCTTTAATATCAATCCAAGGGTGTAATACAGAATCACAGCAGAGATAAGCACCACAACGTAACTTCAAAGCAAGACAAAGGAACTGAGGAAAACACAGGGTATATAAACACAAGGAACGTGATTAGGCAAAACTGAAACAGGTGGAGAACTTAATCAAAACAGGTGAACAGAATAAACGATGATTAACTAAGCGAGAACAGGAACTGAACCAAATAGGGGCAAACAGGAACTAAACTGAGACAACTGGTCAAACGTTTGGAATAATTATACTGTATATATAGTTTACATTTTTGAAGGAAGTCTCTTATGCTCTTCAAGGGTACATTTCTTTGATCAAGAAACAGTAATATTATGAAATATTATTACAATTTAGAATAACTATTTTCTGTTGTAATATATTATAAAATTTAATTTATTCCTGTGATGACAATGTTGAATTTTCTGCAACCATTACTACAGGCTTTATTGTCACATGATCCTTCAGAAATCATTCTATGTTGATCTGGCACTCAATAAACATTTCATATTATTATCAATGTTGAAACCAAGATACAGTACTATTCAAAAGTCCAGCCCGGGGTCGTCACATGTACTTGCCGCAAGCCCGCCGGACGCTCCTTTGTCGAATCCGCCGGCCGCGCCGTTCTCAAGCTCACCGGCCTCTGCTCACTCAAGCCAGCCTCCGCATACTCTAGGCCAGTGGTTCCCAACCCTGGTCCTGGAGGCACCCCAACACTGCACATTTTGCATGTCTCCTTTCTCTGACACACCAATTTGAGGTCTTGAAGTCTCTACTAATGAGCTGATGACCTCAATCAGGTGTGTTTGATTAAGAAGACATGCAAAACGTGCAGTGTTGGGGTGCCTCGAGGACCAGGGTTGGGAACCACTGCTCTAGGCCGCCGCACACTCAAGGCCGCGGTGTGTGACGCTGATTCGTTGTGAAAGCGAAACTACTTTGTTCTTCCAAAAGAGGACACGACTAGAAATCAGTGGTTAAGTTGTATTTACAACACTGTTCCAGAACAATTTAACCCAAATATTCAGATGTGTCCAGCGCATTTTATGGAGGACTGTTTCCTGATCCTGGTAGAGTAGACTACAATGCCGGCTGTTCTGACTCACAGACTGTAAGTACTTGTTTTATATTTAAAGAATTTGCCACTGACGATTCAAACTCGAGTTGGGCAGTGTAGAGTAGCACTTGTTGTTTGTCATTTCTCTGATCACAAATGCAGACATGGTTTTATGTTTACACGGCGCGATGCAATGCGTAAAAAGACAGTATAAGTCATTATAATCCGTAATTATGTCCCCACTGGATGCAACAAATGCCTCGTTTATAATGGGTTTTAATGTTTTTGTCTCGTCGCTCCGGCCGGACAGGGCATCACAGTATGGTAAGGGGCATAACATTTCCTTCTCACGCTTGAGGTATTTGACCAATCATAACGCACTGGATAGCTGGCCAATCAGAGCACACCTCGCTTTTCAGACCGATGAGCTTTGTAAAAATCGACACGTTTCAGAAAGGCGGGGCATAGAGGAGAAACAATAATATACAGTATGTGGAAAATAATGTGTTTTTTTTAACCTTAAACCGCATAAACACATTTCATTACACCAAATACACAAAATAATGTTCTTTTTAGCAACATCATATGACCCCTTTAACATCATTTACTTTCATTCTTTTATTTATATTTTATGAAAATACTTCTATTCAGCAAGGACAGATTAAATTGATAAGAAATTGACAGTAAAGACATATATTACAGAAGATTTCTATGCGCATCTCGTCAGTAAAGCCGGTCCCATGATTAGTAATAAATCTCCATCACCTGCTTTCAGATTGAGCGGCATTCACTACACAGAGCCGTAGTTCACGAGATGCGCATGACAATCGCATGCGATTAATTGCACAGCCCTAGTTCTTTTTAACTTTCTATTCATCAAAGAAAATCATGCTTTCTACAAAAATATTAAGCAGCAATAATAAGAAACACTGATAATAATAAGAACCATTATAAATATTTGTAGCACTGATAATAACTGAGCAGCAAATCAGCATATTAGAATGATTCTAAAGGATCATGTGACCAAAAAAAAAATCATAAGTATGCCAACCTTTTGACCAGTAGTTTAAATGACATAGAAGGACTTATGTTAATATTTTCTATCTGTGTCATCGCAGAACCCAAGAATGATCTTTTCCTGTTCTATGGAAAGGGACGACCTGGGACAATCCGTGGTTTGGACATGAATGTGAAGTCTATCAATGAGTACATGGTTCCTATTGAGGACTTGGTGAATCCAAGAGCTCTTGATTATCATGCTGAAACCGGAAACATTTACTTTGCTGATACTACAAGTTTTTTGATAGGGCGTCAGAAAGTCGATGGAAGCAGTCGGGAAACAATTCTCAAAGATGGTAATTACTGAACATTTTGAATTCTTCTTCATATCATTGGTATTTTCAGTTTGTGAAATTGCTTCATTTTCTTACACAAAGACTCTGTTTATACCTGAAATCGCTTGAATTAAAATCAAATAAAAGGTACAAAGGTTGTTGTTGTTGTTTTGATAACAGCTTTTCAGCAACCGAATTATGTGTGCTCTTACAGATCTTGATAATGTGGAGGGGATTTCAGTGGATTGGATTGGAAATAATCTCTACTGGACCAACGATGGCTACAGAAAAACCATCAGCGTGGCTAGGCTGGAGCGGGCATCTGAAACCAGGAAGACTCTTTTGGAGGGAGACATGTCTCACCCTAGAGCCATAGTGGTGGATCCTTTGAATAGGTACTGTAGAATAAACAGCTGATCATCACAATCCTAGATTATGTATTATACAATGATTTTAAATGCTTATCAACATTCATAGATGCATGATTTGAATAGAACTATTTGTTACTTTTGTTTACTTTTTTATATTTTATTATTATTTAACTACCATGGATGCACTAATATTTAAATTGATAACCAATAAATGGACCATATTATAAAATCTACACTACCTTTCAAAGGTTAGGGGTCTGTACTTTTTTTTTTTTTGAAAGGATATTTTTTTTAAATAATTTTTAATTATTGAAACCGCATGTTTCCTACCATCACAAACGTTACCAATCCCACCAATTTGTGGGGCGGGGCTTTTCAAATCTGGTTAAAGGTTTCTATTTCATGTGTTTTTGCAGCATTGAGTAATGTAGCCAATCACAGACATATGTGTTGGTTTCGTGAATGCAGTGGCCATTCAGAGGTTTAAGTTAGTCAGAATCCACTCACCACGCAAAAGTGCTGAGGTCTACACGTGCACAGATCCTCTCAAAAGAAAGTGTAGGTACAATGTAAATAAGATGATTGATTATAACATAACTTTGTGAGATCACGATGAACTAAGATGTGTGACAGCCTTTTAGTGATTGTGAGGAGAGTGTTATTTGCACGCTTTCTAGGCTATAATCAATTCTGAATTTGAATAAATTCGCTTAAGAATTCATTCTTGAAACTGTGATGAATGACATACCAAGAACCATTAATCCAAGATTGTCACTTGCCATTGTGTAACATTTACTATTTGAGTTAACTGAGTGAAAGTGAAGCAGGTCCAAGCTGGTGTGTTTGAGTGGAGGCATATTCATGATTTCACGCATACTCAATGAGGTGTAGAGTTATATTCAAGAGTTATATTCCATTTCAAGATGTGAATTAATTATTTTCATGGGGAAAAAAACATTTAAATATGTCATTTTGATGAACAAAGATGAGTTTTAAGGGATACAATTAGTGATTGCAGGGGGACTTTAACCAATATGGTGCCAGAATATCAGACCTCCCTAGGTGTGTTCTATGTTTTGTGGATATGGCCATATACCTTATATTAACTGAAAAATCGGTTACACTTTATTTCAATAGTCCACTTGAGACATTCTAACTATTAGTAACTTTGCAACTACATGTCAGCTGACTCTCATTAGAGTATTAGTAGACTGTTAGGATGGGATTAGGGTTGGGGTTTGTAGAATAAGTTGACATGTACTTGCAAAGTTACTTATAGTTGGCAGAATGTCTGTTGGGGGACCAACAAAATAGTTGTTAGCAGATGTTAAGTCTGCTAATACTCTAATGACTGATAGTTGACATGTAGTTGCAAAGTTAGTAGACTGTCGAAAGTGAACGATCAAAATAAAGTGTTACTGAAAATCTGGTAATCTAAAATATGCTTGGAAAAACACAAGTAATCCAAAAACATTTGCAATCTGTGATGAAATGCTGAGTTCTACTCACTTTCCTCCTGGCCTGAAGGAACAGTCTTCATTCCAGTTTATTTACTAACATTTGTTTACACTGCATGGCTTCAGAGGCGATTGCAATTGTACATAGAGTAGTGAAGCATGTATGTCTGTACTGGTTAATGTGTGTGTGTGCACCAGTAAGCTGGCATGGCATGGCCAGTAAAAATGGTGAGTTTGATGGCCCAGAGCCAATCTCATTATCACCCTCCCTGGGTGTGAGAGTAACTCATGAATCCTGAGGAGGTGCAGGCAGCCAAGGCTGAAGAAGCGAGATACTGCAATGAGGCAACAACCACTCTCGGCCCTCTCATATCCAATCAGACAACCTGCTCACTCTCTTTTTATCCGATTAAAAAGTACTCAAGTACCGAAATACTGATTGGTCGATGGTCGTCAGATCTTTTGGGGCATTCCAAGTGGTATCTTGAAGATGCGTTGAGTACTTTTTAATTAATTTATTTTTAAATCTCTGTAAATAAATGGCTTATTTAAAAGTGTGCACTTATCATTAAGTAATTAATATAGGTTGGAATAGATTTTTACCATCTTTAATGAACACAAGTGGTGTTGACTACCAAATCATTTGAAGAGAGGGAAAGCAAATGCAGAATAGTTTCATTATTTCCAGACACAATGGGTTCATTAACTCATGCCATAATTATATTCATTGCTCAGACCTCACGCTTGTACAATTTATGCGACTCTCTATCTCTCTCGCATTTAATAAAGCTAATGTATCTTGAATGGAGTGCTAACAATAAAATAAACATTGGGCAATGACAGGAAGCTAGAAACTGTCTTTTTATGAGTTTGTCAACAGATACTTGCAAATAGTGCACATTTGCATGAGTAAAATGCAAAAATGCCAACTTATCTCCCAGTCACCACCACATGTCATTCCCGATGGGATAACTTCAGTGGTGTGGAAGCGATTAAAATCTGCATTAAAAGCAATGTCTGCTGAACTGCCAGCTCAGAGGATGTCATGCAGACTGCTTGACACTATTCTTTGGGAGTGGAAAGCTGAAGCTTTCTGGAGCTAGGGCTCAGACAGGAAATGAGAAGCACACCTCTTCTGAGGCGCCATTGATGTGTCCTGTTTTGACAGCCGGTAAAAAAAAAAAAGTCTCAGAGGAAAAGGATGAAGGTGGAAGATGGAAATTTGGAGTGGATGTAAATTTTTGACCTCTCTAACAGGCCATCAGAGCATAGACTGCATGCACTTTGAATGACAGCCAAAATAGAGTGATTCATGTACAGTGCTTCAAAGCAAAACTAGCTTTTTGTGGCTGTAAGAGTGAGAAACTTATCAGATTTATGATAAGTTAAGAGGCAACTTATCAAATTGTAAGTTTTAACAATTTAATAATTATTAGAATATTATCCAATATTATTATAATAACTTAATCTTTAATTAATTTAAAAATTATGAAATTATCATAATTTTGTCAGTCTTGTGTTTTGTTCTCCACGTGCTCCATGTCCTGGTTCCCCCCCTTATTATGATAATTTGTTCCAGGTGTTCCACGTTTAGTTATATTGATCCCAGGTGTGTCCCATTAGTTTCCATGATTTAAGCCCTGTGTGTTTCCATGTCTAGCGTGCTGTCTTGAACGTCGATCCCATGTCCTACGTGTGATTCCTTGATGTCAATAAAGACTGTTGATCTTGATTCTCCTGCATTCTCCTCACTCCTAGTTCCTCGCTCCTCACAGTAGGCACACTGTGACAGAAGACAGCACCGATAACAGTAAGCGGCGCCCCTTCTCCCCATTTTGTTTTCGTTTTTTGAAAAGTCTTTTGTTTTCTTGTTGTTTCTCCCCGCGATATGGAAACCGCTGCACATTTCATTGCTTTAGCCCATAAGGATCTCCCCTTTTTTTCGAGTATGCCTGGGAGTTCTGCATTGGGTATGCCTGGGAGAGACGGCGTTGGATGACGCCACCATCAACTCTCTGTTCTGGACCTCCCAGATAACACGGGACTAAGCTGGAGGGAAGGGATCCTCCAGTGTCTGGAGACCGTCCAGCCCCGAGCCAGAACCAGCCCGCCATCAAGTCCGCCCTGGCAGCGGCATTCTCAAGCCCGCCGGCCGCTCCAAAGTGAAGTCCGCCGACCACGGCATTCTCAATCCCACCGGCCACACCGATGTCAAGCCCACCAGACGCGCCATTCACCCTTACCCAAAGGAGGAGGATGAGGAGGAAAAGATTGTTCTCGGCCCTCATCCTAGCCCCAGCGCTCGCTCCAGTGTCGGCTCCAGCCCCAGAGCTCGCTCCAGAGAGAGCTCCAGTCCCCGAGCTTAGCCCAGAGAGGGCTCCAGTCCCCGAGCTTAGCCCAGAGAGGGCTCCAGTCCCCGAGTTTAGCCCAGAGAGGGCTCCAATCCCCGAGTTTAGAACAGAGAGGGCTCCAGTCCCCGAGTCTAGCCCAGAAAGGGGTCCAGTTCCCATGTCCAGCCCAAGGAGGGCTCAAGTCCCCGGGGTAGTAGGGGTCCATCTGTGGATGCTGGGCCGAGTGCCGAGGCCAGGCTCCCCGAGCTCCCTGTTCCGCCATGGCCTCCTGAACTGTCTGCTCCGCCATGGCTCCCCGAGCTCCCTGTTCTGCCATTGCCTCCTGAACTGTCTGCTCCGCCATTGCCTCCTGAACTGTCTGTTCCGACCATGGCCTCCTAGTGTGCCTGCTCCGCCATGGCTTCCCAGTCTGCCTGCTCCGCCATGGTGCCCCAAACTGCCTGATCCGTCATGGGTCCTGGAACGGGTAGCGCCCAACCCCCTCCCCATTGGATATTGTTGACGCGCTTTCCAGGAGGGGGGAGTAATGTCAGTCTTGTGTTTTGTTCCCCACGTGCTCCATGTCCTGGTCCACCCCCCCCAAATAGATATTTGTTGATCCAAATGCGGTGTTAAATGTGTCCAAAATATTAACAATCCAGTGAAAATATCTTACTTAAATATCTTAATTGACCCTTCGCTGGGAATTTGATTGACAGGTGATCTGACAAATCATAACGCCGAATCTGGCATGTTGTTCATCAAACAAACCAGACAGGAGAGTAGATTAACGTCGGTGGAGTTGAATTTGAAAAATGGTGTGTATTGACATCTTTCCACAGTTGAAACAAGATACCTTCTGATGTTCAGTCATGTTTATTTTGTGCTTTAACTAGTAAAGAGGAAGAGATGATCGATTCACATGCCACTTGAACTTAGACGCTACAGCGATCTGTCACAATACATTAAAAAGCCACAAAATGGTATTTATTGTTTGAATTTCTTAAAACAAATGACCAAATTTGAAAGCTGACTTTGTTTTATACCAAAAGTAACCTGCTCTGTCTTGTGTGTTGTCAGTGTCCTCTTTGCTCTACAATGTATTTTTCACTGCATGAAAGTGCCATGACTTGTCGGACATCGCAACAGTAACTAAGGGGGCGAAGTCTTTGCGAAGGGTCAATTATGACTGAATTGAATCAAAATACCTTACCAATTTAACCTTTATTTTTATGATATCTAGTACAATTTTGGCTGTGTTGTTTTGACCCACCTCTGTGGGCTTATTTATAGAAATGAGGTTAGGCCCTGTAATTAGAAGTTGGCCATCTATCATTTAGGCAGGTGGCATGTTGATCTTTGTCTGGTCTGCTGGATGGGCTTCCCTCCCTGAAATAACACCCACCTGTCCTGATTTCTTTATCTCTTCCCCCCATACAGTATACATCTCTCTGTTGATGCCAAAAGCAGCCTGTGATAACATGATAAGAATGAACTTGCCTGACTCAGTAACTCTTTTCTCTCTTTTAGTATCCTGCATTCTGTCATTTGGACTATCACAATTTACATCTCTGTCTTTCCATTTGTTTGATATATTTTTTATCTCTACTCTGTGCTCACTTCATTGCTGTCCTATCTTCATTCCCAGGAGCAGATTTTCTAAACTGTGGGATTTTCTGATGGTCAAAACTGATTTTGTATACTCCTACCAGTTCATAGAGCATAAACTCCACAGTGTAATGAAGTCATTGTTGTTCTAGCTTGATTCTCCAGTTTAGGGAATTCATGAAATCTTCAGTGTCTATCTCTCACTCATATCCTCAGCTATATTTACTCCTTATTTTTGTCTTTATTTCTCACTTTCTGGCCATTAGCTACTCCACAAACACATTCAAAAACATTAAAAACTTTGGGTTCAGTATTTTATTTTTTTAGAAAAGGGTGTTAATTGATCAAAAGTGACAGTATATTACATACTAATATAGCATTCTAATATAATAGTTATTTTCAATTGTAATAATATTTCACAATATTGTTGTTTTTATTGGATTTTTGATCAAATAATGCCGACATGTTGAGCATTCTTGTTTAGCATTCTTTCAAAAACATCATAGCATAACATCAGAAACATTAAAAAAAAACACCATTGGAACAGTACTGTATATGCAACTTTTTTTAAGCATTAGATGCACAAATTTTGTGTTTTTTTAACATGAGAAATATTGGAATATTATTGGATTAAATTGTTTTTGGTAACACTTTAGAATAGGGAACACTTACTCACTATTAACTATGACTTTTCCCTCAATAAAATCCTAATTTGCTGCTTATTAATAGTTAGTAAGGTAGTTGTTACGTTTAGGTATTGGATCGGATTAGGGATGTAGAATAACGTCATGTAGAATAATTAATATGTGCTTAATTAGTACTAATAAATGGCTAATATTCTAGTAATATGCATGCTAATAAGCAACTAGTTAAGAGACCCTAAAATAAAGTGTTACCCTATTTTTCTGCTGGCTTAAATCCAAATTATTTTAAGAAAAGCCTCATTGGACAAGTTTACATCAATTTATGAAATATTGTCAGCAACTACTTCAGGCTACATTTTTAACCCTAGTGTTTATTGTTTTGTTTTGTTTTGTTACTGTAAAATTAATGCCAATTATTTTTTTATGCTTGATTATATATGTCTATTTTTTTACATATTGGACACAAGTGTGGACATATAATTTTGTGTGTTCAATATACAGTAATTGTGAGCATATAAACTGGTCATAAATAGTTTAGTTTCACCTCCTAAAAGTTATACTGTGTTATATTATAAATATTACATATAAAATGTTATGAAGGTTAAACACCTTTTTGACTGACCATTAGCTGAAAAAGTAAAAGTAAAATTATATATATAAAAGCAAGACTTCATTTTTTACGAGCCTCAGGCCCTGTTTTGTGCTGTACTCATGGAAAATGCCATGTAATCTTTGCTCATTTTGGTTGGACCCTGCATGCTGTTACAGTCTGAAATGTGCAGCCTTGGATCATGCTGTTTGTCTTCTGAATAATTCAGGTGGTCATGTAGCCAACGCACCGGGACAGAGAACGCTTGATTCGCCCTCTGTCCAATTCTGTTTTATGTGGTGTACTTGAAGCACGGCTTGTATCATTGATGAGACAGAAAAGCTTGCGTTGACCGCTGAGTAGTACTCAGAGGCAACAAATCCCTTAAGCACACTTACTAGTGAAAGGATCATGTCAGAACGTTGACCTAATCACTTTTCAAATATCACTAACCCATCACAGTTCATGTTGGCATCTATACGCCTAACGTAGAAAGGGAAATGTAAAAAAAATACATATGTACACATAAACAGATTCATTTCCAGATTCCCCTATGTGCGAGTTGTTGACTTTGCTTAAGCATATTTTGTTTGTTATGTTCAGTTAAGCTTGTACATTTTTAGACCTGCAGGCAATTTATTTCAATTTGCTTCAGCTGTACACTTCCTGTCTTAGCGAGTAATATGTGATTGATATTCATGCCTGCTTCAAAAGTAAATACAAGTGCTGTTTTCAAGGACTACACTGACTCTGTTCTGGTTTTGGGTACAGTTGGATGTACTGGACGGATTGGGAAGAGGATGAGGTGAACGACAGCATCGGTAGAATAGAGAAAGCCTGGATGGACGGTTCCAACAGGAACATATTTGTCACATCTAACATGCTGTGGCCTAATGGACTTACTCTTGACCATGGAACCAGTACCATGTACTGGTGTGATGCCTATTATGATCACATTGAGAGAATCTACCTCAATGGCACTGGCAGAATGGTGAGTGAAATTGCTCAAATATTGCTATTTCTTAGTTTAGAAATCTTAGAAATCAAATGGGATTATTTTTAACAAATGAGAAAGAGCTTCCTAAAACCTGAAAGAGAATTAACATTTTAGCGTGGGTTCCCTCATAATTTAATTGAAAATACTTCTTCTCTTGTTCTACAACATATAAATTATCACCAGTCATACCTCAAATGTGAATTTTGTTTCTAATAAGTTGCTAATATGGCCCTCAACTCCAATGCTAATGCTGGCTTATAAGGACCACAACTCAACAATTAATCAAGCATGTACACTCACACTTGCACATTTTTAATCCGGCAGTGATTTCAAAAATGAAATTGTAGGTCTTACTGTGCCTAGGTTGTTGCACAGAAGGGAAGTAACTTCAAGTAATGTTCACCACAAACTTTATTTTACTCCAGATCGAAAACCACTTATAAAAACCCATTTGAAATTCCTGAGGGATCCCATGGCAAATTAGCTTCCTGGATAGGCCTATGGATTGACGTCATGACTAAACTGCTCTATTATTGAGACAAACGTTGACAGAATAAACATATAGAGCTATAAAATGTATGTTGACTGCACAGCTTGGATAATTTGGTTTTGGAAGAATAATTTAATGCAAAATGAGCGTGCATTTTGAGATTTTGCTGCCATATATTTGAAGCATTGGAACATTGTTGACATTATTTTTTAAACTTTTCATTCCATTACTGTGTAGGAGAAAAAATTAGATGTTAAAGAGAAAAAAAGTTAATCTTTTTTCTGAGTTGTCAGAACAGTGCATGGTAATGTGTGTGTGTGTGTTTTTTTATTTTTTATTTTTTGCAATTCACTGTAGGTTGTGTACAGTGGCAGGGAACTCAATCACCCGTTTGGGATTGCACAGTACCAAAATTCCATCTTCTGGACGGAGTACATGAATGCCTCCATCTTCCAGCTGGATCTGGTCTCTGGCGAAGTCACTCTGTTGAGGAGTGAACGGCCACCTCTGTTCGGGCTCCGAGTATATTATGCACAAAGCCAGCTGGGTAAAGTCACTTTAACTTAACACTTTAAAAGTCAATTTAAGAAAAGTTAAAGATTACAGAATTACACATTTTTTTCATCTTTTTTAAAAATAATATTTTGATGAGTAATGGTCAGACTTAATATTTTTTCCCTTTTAATTCATACAGGTAAGTTGTAATGTAAATTGAACTTACCACAACAAAGATTAAGGAAAGATTTAAGGAAGATGAATTTACTAAATTGAAATTCCAAATTTTTTTTTAAAATCTCATTTTAATTGTTGGCAAGAGTAGGCAACTTCTGTTTACGTTCTCCATTTTGTGACCTAAGTCATGTTGCTTCCATTTTGAAAACTTGAAGAGTAAATTAGAGCATTCTGGAAAATTAATTGTTCTTCTTCCATGGCAAGAAAAAAAAAAAGTTCATTTATTAATGTGTACTACCATTCCATAGTTTGGGCTCAGTAAGATTTTATTTCCTTGTTTTTGTAAGTGATTAATACACAGAGGTGGAAAGAGTACGAAAATATTCTACTCAAGTAAAAGTACCATTACATTAATTACATTTTACTTAAGTACAAGTAAAAGTACCAGTCTAAAAATCTACTCAAGTAAAAGTAAAAAGTAGCTTGTTTAAAATTTACTCAGAGTAAAAATTACTTAGTTATATTTTAACTGTGGGAGGGAGGCAAAAATGGTATAGGCCAAGGGTGTCAAACTGAGTTCCTGGAGGGCCACAGTCCTGCACAGTTTAGATATAACCATAATTAAACACATCTGATCCAGCTAATCTAATCATTTAGACTTATTTAAAAACTACATGGTATGTGTGTTGGAGCAGGGTTGGAACTAAACTCTGCAGGGCTGGGGCCTTCCAGGAAGTGAGTTTGACACACATAGGCCTATAAATCTCAAACCAGTTGTTTTTAATTAAAGGAATCAGTTTTTTAGAATAATAAGACATTTGTGCTGTTACCAGGCAAATTAAATTAGTATCAACAAAACTACACACTGTTTAATGTAGGACATGAATGCATTTAACCTGCAGTTACAAATGCAGAAATAATGTTTTGATATATAAGACATCAAATGTTAAATACTCATTTGAAATTATATTAACATTTTTTTCTAAATTAAAATCTAAAGATACTTTAAATGTGAAATTAAAACCGCCAGTAGGTGTCAGCAAGTCACTGTTAATAAGTGAGTCATCGCGATTGAACCGAGTCATTTAAACGGTTGATTCATTCAGGAATGAAACACCGTCATTGCTCAGAGATGCAAAACTGTGCTATATGGTGGCTGTGTTTGGAATTATTTTTGTCAAAATAGAGCAAAAACAGGCAATATGGTGTCTAAAAGTCTCTTAATTAACTTATTGTTAATTGAACTGTTGTAAAAAAATAAATCTATATTGTAATCATGTTGATTTTTGGAGGAAAAAACGTCACTCTTTGCGATTTACTATATGAAATGATATAAATATATACATTTTCTGCCCCTATATCTTCAATTTTGTGATCATTCTAAATGCATTTTAACAGACTGAATCACGCAGTGAAAGAACACACTCTAAATGCACACGTGCACTAGTCTAATCTACTAGACTTCATGGCACTCTGTAGGAGTGTTTTGTTTGGTTTTTGGCAAAATACTGATAATGTCAAATCCCACATCGTTAAAACCACAATTAGGATATTATCGCAGACGATATACAGTATATCGCACACCCTGCACCACTGTCTTTTTGGCTAATTTGTGCAAAACCTTTTGTTAAGCTGTCTAAGCTTCATTTTAACCACCAATGCAACAATGCAAGTATTTACCTTAACTCTACATTCTTGCGAAGGGTTGATGTCGAGATTTTATAAGTTGCTAGTTTGGTCTCCCTAGGCAAACATAGCTTACACTGCATAACAGAGCATTAACATGGCCAGGGGTTCACTTCATTTCCTTCGAGTTGAACTTCAGCAGAATACGACGGGGTTTCGTTTTCAGCTGGGTCTGCACCACTAACGCCTGTCTTGTCCGTCTCCATCTTTCTTGTGATTTTAGCACCGGTTTGTTCTCCTGCCCATAATTTACTGCAGTAGTTTCCAGGGAGCAATTTTTTTTTTACTCAGTAATTAATGTGTTTTAAAATGTAGCGAAGTACAATACTTCAAACAAAATATACTTAAGTAAAAGTAAAATTACTAAATTAAAATTTTTTAAAATTGCTTTAAAAAGTAGTACACAAAAAAGCTACTCAATTACAGTAACGAGACTAAATGTAATTTGTTACTTTCCACCTCTGTTAATACATCAGGAATGCATTTTTTAGATAAAAATGTGACAGTAAATACTTTTACATTTTTGCAATGAAATAAATGAATACAATTTAAAAAGATCTAATTAAATTTAAAATCTAATTAAATACCGAACCTAAACTTTGTGGATGTTTTTCAATTCATTTCTGAATGATGCACAACTTTTGACTTTGGTACATAATGGTTCATTTTTACCAAACTGTAATATGCTTGAAATAAATGCACAAAAAAATCTGGTGGGAAAATTGTTTCACATATTACATGGAGTAGTGCATTCTTTCAGAGAATTCATAATAAATGACATTTTTACAAACAGTGCAGCTATTACAATTGTTCATGGTTTTAACTTTAATCAGCATAAACCCAACTGCAGAGCTGGAGCCGTACTGTTGAGTGGGTGGGTTTAATCTGCTCAAGTGGGGGCTTAAGCTCTGTTTAGAATGTTTAACTCTGTGTGGATGTCTGAGGCAAGGAGGGATGATTACTGTCATCTTCGCTCATAACTGCCAGTCACAACACGCAGAGGGAGGGACGCTGCTCAGCGGGGCCCTTGCACATGCAGACGAGCAGCACAGAGAACGCAGCCGTGTGTTCGGCTCCCACATGTTTCATCTCTTACTTACCTAAGGGCGGTGCGTTTTCAGAGGAGCAGACAGTACGCTGCTTGTCAGAGAGACTCACTCTTTTGAGAATGACTACATAGGCATTCGGGACCAGCAGACTCGTATCATGTTTTAAATATTCTCCTCTTGACATCAAACTTACAGCATTCACAACACCAAGACTTGTGACAGGAGAAGGTGGGGAACTGCTGTTATGTCATGTATGAATTTCCTGCCTCAAAAATATGGGCTTTTTGACAGTCTACGTTCTCAGCCGAAGAGGAATTTCTTCAAAGCGCTTGTCAGGAAAAAGATTAATTGTGTTTCCGCTCCCTGGAGTACCACAGATTGGCCATTACAAAACAGTTTTTATCTCATTGGTTCAGGCAATGCCTTTCAACCCCTCTCTAAATGAAACCTTATTATTGTCCCCATGCCTCAACTTAATAAGTGACAGTTTGCTCACAAAACTGTGTTTTTCTCCTCTCGTCCCCCATCATAGGTGTCATTGCCCACACAACAAATGATGTCTTGTGAAAGAATAAGAGTGTCAAAAGTGGCTCTCGTCTCCAGTGTTTCCCATAATTTACTTGACATGTGATTAAAAATAATGCCCCCTGTGTACCACCAGCATCCCAGAAGAGCAGGAAATTGGTTCTGAGTGGGCAGTGAAGAAGAACTTTATGTTCTGTGCTTCAAGGAGAGACATTGCTAAAAGCCATAAAGGGATGAACACATAAACAGTCGTTCTGCCAGTGGGAAAGAAGTTTTGTAGATATCTGTTGTTTAGGCCTATGTTTATTTTTTAGGTGACAATGCCTGCCGGGTGAATTATGGTGGTTGCGGTACCCTCTGTTTGGCCGTCCCAGGAGGCCGGGTGTGCGCATGTGGCGACAACCAGCACCTGGACAAGAACAATGTCACATGCTCTGGTAGGCTGTTTTAAATACCATTCCCTTAGAAAAATACAGGACAAAGAGTCTGTTGAGGACTAAGAGAGCCTCTTAAAAAATAAAATAAAGAAATTGGTTACCAATGTGTTCATTATAAGTAATGTAAGTAAAATTTTCTAAATGACTATCAAATTGTCGTATTTAAATTATTTTATTTAACAAATGTTTATAAATAGTTAAATGTAAAAACCTCTGAATGTCAATATGTTTGTATGTAAAATTTTTCAAAATTTCCAAAAACCTATGCCTTTGCTGGTGGCCATTGTTCATCAAGGCCAAGGTATTTTTTTTTATTATTGTTACATTTAACTTTGCTTTTAAGCATACATTTAAAATGTCTTCTTATTTATCATTTAAAAAAAAATCTATTAAATTATTTTTTAAATCATAAATTGCTAATTTAATGCTTCATTTTATTTTTTATAGCAGTCCTAGTCCTTCATAGAAGTCATCAGTCACTCAACTAAAGACAAGGACAGAATCTAAATTTGTGCTGCTTTAAATAGTAGCATGCTTGATTTAATTGAAAAAGTAGCATGACAATAATGGTAGTTTTAGTTTTACCCTCAGACTCCACATTGCCCAAACACTGAGACTGACTATAATTTCCTTTAAGTTTTTTTTTTTTTTACAATTCAGTTTTTTCTTCTCCTGAAGACTCTGCAGGTCAAGAGGAGCCCCAGCAGTGCAAAACTGATGAGTTTCAGTGCAGAAACTGGCGCTGCATACGAGTCAATTGGATTTGTGATGGAGATGATGACTGTTTAGATGGCAGTGATGAGGAGGCCCACATATGCTGTATGTACCTTGTTTTCTTTCTTTATATGCTTGTGATGTATTTACTCAATACAAAATTTCCATTCTATTCAGGTATCACAGGTGTCATCCATTTTTTTTACTGAACTGGTAACAAGATGAACACTACAACAATGTCACAAATTATTATAATTTTTTTTTTGGAAGGAAGTCTATATTTAGTTGATCAAAAATATAGTAAAAAAATAAAAAAAACTTCAGGATTCAATGAATATATTTATTTGAAATAGATGCCTTTTGTAACATTATAAATGTCTTTACTGTCAGTTTTTATCAATTTAATGCCTCCTTGCTGAATAAAAGTATTAATTCATTTATTTAAAAAAATAAAAACTGAAAGCCCCAAACTATATTCATACATATTAGTTTGACATTTTTCAATACATTTTTTTATTAAAATCCCCACGTAGAAGTCATCAAACAAATGTGTTGATTTGTAAAGAGAACAAAGGTGAAGTGAGTGGTCAAAAATACAGTTTAACCCCTTAAGTGCCACCCCCCTATTTTTGAACAAAGACGTGAAAGTGCACTATCCAAACTTAAATTATTATAATTCATGAAAACTTTGGAATACAGACCTAAGGTTGGACTCCTTTTTAAGAAGATAATCTGCAGATTACTGCAGAAGTAGAATCATTTCAAAATATTAAAGTATCAAAAAATTATAGAAGTTTAAATTTGCTATAAAGAAAATGCACTGTACCAAGTTTTTTTATTTTATATAAAGTAAATATTTTACAAAATATTTTTTAATCCAAAATTGATATAAAATTAAAGCCTTGTGTCTAAATAAGTTATGTTCCAAATTTGAAGTTGATAAAAAAAAATTAGGTTCCTGTAAGATTTTATTTAGGGAGTTATACCACAAACAGCCACCGGGTGCCATCCAAACATTTTTGTTGATGCATTTTTTCTGTCACGAAGGTCTACATTTCTCTGTCGATATTACTTCTATCAAATAACCAAACAACAAACAAAAAGAGCGCCATTGGGCCCACCTGTGGTTAATGGTCATTATGCACATTTTTTTATTCACAATGCCCCAAATGACTAGTCAGAATCAATAATTCCAGAAAGCTGTATAATAATAAGTAAATGCATATGCTGATAAAATATAGACCGTAGCTTGAATTGCACTGGATAAAAGCATCTACATAAAGGTAAACCTGAACAAGCAGCCTGTTTGCATATAATTTGTAAATGATTAACAAGTTGTTAATTGGCATCTCAGGGAAAAACGGCTGCAATATCAAACGGGAAGAATGCCAGTATCAAAATGTTCTCCCATGCAGTGCATCCCACAGCACAATCAGCTCATGAGCTAATCGATAAGATAAGCACCATGTTAAAACGTTTGGGGGCTGAGTCATTTTTCACTATGAGAAATACTTTAACGTGATGTTCTGCCAAAATGATCAGAATTGCAAAATCAATTTTCTGCTCTGCTGGGATGTCCTATAGTTTAATACAGCTGAAACTTTACTGCCTGATCCCACTTGAATCCGGTTTTCCATTTTATCTGTTACTCATTGTCTGTTGGGGACGCGTTGAGTATCCAGGGTTATGAGTAATAGCAGGTTATATTATCAAATAGAGCAAATAGGAGAGGAAAACACAGGTGCTACTTTAAATAAACCCAAAAGCCTGAAGGCAAACTCATATTTTTGAGATAAATGTGAAGCTAGCTCAAGAGAATAGATGAATAGCACCATGAAAACTGCTGTGTCAAAAAAAAAAAAAAGTAGAGTATTATGGATATGAACTCACTTATATGTAGAGCGGGCTGTCAGCAGTATAACAAAACATGTCATAAATAAATAAACATACATAAATAAAAACAATAGAAATATATATCAAGCATTTGCAGCTTTGCAACATACAATATTGATACAATATGTATTTTTTTTTTTAGAACAAAACATTTTGTTTGACATGCACTGAATTTTTTGTTTCTGTTGTTCCTTCCAGCTAACCACAGTTGCCCGGTTGACCAGTTCAAGTGTCCCAATAACCGCTGCATACCCAAAAGGTGGCTTTGTGATGGAGCCAATGACTGTGGAGATAACGAAGATGAGTCTAATAAAACATGCTCAGGTAGAACTCTACTCCCTCATATACATTAAGATTCATGCACCAACATCAGGGTCACTTATTATAAAACGTATAAAACTTATTAATCCTCTATGTATTATTTTATTATTCTTTCTTATTTCAGAGTCACATAACTGTAGAACATTAATATCACTTAATTATTCATATTTAATAATTAACATCATATTATAAGTGGCATAACTGGGCAACCCACATACAAAATTATTTTTTCTTGTAGTCTTGTTTAAATTATTAAAGTTTTTGCTACATTTTTCAGCCAGAACATTTTATTGGCATTACATGCATATTTTCATATTTTAAGATGCAAAAAATGTATTCTAAGGTCATATATACTATTACAGTTTAAAAACAAATTGTTTTAAAACATGGATTTCAGTAGGAACTGTGAACATTGCCGTTTTCTTATGCCATTGAAAAGTGAGTGACAACATCAGCTTTTGCAATTGTAGAGTGATTCAACTTCTATTTTTTAAATGTTGGTTTATTATTTATCTCACTGATGTGTTTGAATTCGCAGTATCTGTCAGAGTTGAGCTACCTTCTCAGGTACTGTAATAGGCCAAGGAGCGTTGACTTGTTTTTTATGAGAGCATGATAATCGATAAGTGCGTATGTGCAATGAAGTGAACTTTCTTGCTACGGATTGTCAGAATCACTTTTCCCCAACCTTCTTTTTACAAACTAGAGTAACACCTGGCCTGTTTCCAGGAGTTAACACTCTTTCACTAGTTTAAGTGCTGTAAGATCAATGGAAGGGAAGAACAGATGTGATAAATGCTGTCAACAGTCTGACATCCCTCTGATAAAGCTGACCCTCCAGCCGGAGACGGCTCAGGCCTTTGTTGACTTGGCAGAAGCTGTTAGAGCAAAGCGATGTGGAACACAAGTGATTATACTGAATCAGTGAGGAACTGAAATTGACAGCAGATGTTAAAGCGATTTAATATTTCATGATTCAAGATGATCTGAAGCAGAGAATTGCTTGAATTGGCTGTAAAATAGTCTCTGGTGTATCAATGAAATTTTGATCAATTAGCTCGGAATTAAATTATTGCCTTTTGGTGGGACTAATTCCTGGAGTCACGCGTCAGAGTAAACCACTTTAAAGAAATTACCCTTAGACTTAAATTGATTACCTCTTATATGTGTGTTAAAAGTATGGCCACTAGGATTAGGATTCAAAAACTGGTGATTTAGGGTGTATTCACACCAGGAAAGTCCACTAGTTTACTTGCTTTTTTTTTGTTTGGTGTGGTTCTCTTTCACGCTGCCCTTTTTGCAAGTGAACCAGAAATTGTAAACAAAACCACACATGTGCTAAGGTCATCCATTCATTGGACAGAAATTCTCAAGTGTACCAGAGTTCGTTTGGAACCGAACCGAGACCACCTCTTCAGCTGGGTCTCAGTGCAGTTGTTTGGTCCGCACCCGAGTGTGATTGCTGTATGCACACCTGCCCAAAAGATCCGCACCAAGGGGGGAAACGAACTTGAGTTCGATTCAATGTCACTAAACAAGACAGGTGTGAATACACCCTTAATAGTGGGTGTGTAGGTGTGTGTGTGTGTGTGTGTGTGTGTATTTAAATAGAACCAAAAACAAACCTATTGCATCTTTCATTTTTGATTTAACATCATCTCATAATTAGTGTTCTGCTCAGCAAACTTAGTCATGTAACAAAAGTTATGGCTGACTTGATTTATGTATTGTGACATATTTCAGAGTGAAACAGCTTTTAGAATGTGAAAAATTATAGGGCAGGACTGTATCGATATACTTTTTTTTTTTAATTCAAGCTGGGGTGGTGGTGACCAGGGTAGCTTGATGAATGGGACCTCAAGAGCAGAAAACGCACCTCTTATCTCCATTTGTGGCTGTGTGGGTTTTATATGATGGGTGGTTGGACTTTAGTCAGGGTAGACAGCATTTACAATTTTTTTCGTGGATGAAAATGAGGCTGTGCGCAATAGACCTAGTCTTTACAGTGGCACACACCTATATATATATATATAT